AGTTATGGGCTTGAGTGGGGGAGGGCAGGGGGAACTGGCTGGTCTGCAGGAGGAGCAGTGTGAGCCAGGGAGCTCCCCAGTGCTAGGGAGGGGGTAGGAAGAGCTCAGTCCTGCGGCTGGAGCCAATGGCTGGGGCAGCCCTGTGCCTGTGCTAGGAACTGTACAGAAGTTCAGGACAATTCAACTGGTCTAAAAATAGCTGACCTGATCTAAGTTAGGTGTACCTCAGACATGAGGTTAACTTAGATCAGGTCGGCCATTTTTAGACCAATCTAACTGTCCTGAACTTCTGTATAGTTCACACATAGATCTGCCTAACTAATGCAAGGTCCATACCTAGGCGAGCTAAGTTATATTGGGAGGAATTTTTAATGCAGTCTAACCTCCCACATATGGTTGTATCTAGCCCAAGTGGTTAGGGCACTGACCCAGAAAGAAAAGACCCCTGTTCTAGACCCCACTCAATGAACCTGTATCTCCAGCTTCCCAGGACAGAATGCTAACCATCATACCACAGGTCAGACAGTATCTAGATCATTCTTCAGCATGCCTTTTGAAGCTGGTCCCCTAGGTAGCCAAGATGGGAAGATATTAGGGGTGTGCAAAGTGGGCCCTATTAGATTCAGATTTCACCCAATTCAGGGACAGTGATTCAATTCATTGATTTGGATCACTGTCCCTGACTCGATTTGACTGAATCCACATCTGAAGATTTGATGCTGATGCAGAGAATCAGTGATTCGGACATAGACACAACTTTCAATGTTTTTTCTGTATACCTCAAGATACCAGGTGGCTTGTGAACGCTGCGATGTTGGGGTTGACGGAGTGTCCCACAGGAGCATGGGGGGGTCCCCACATGCTGGGTGGCAAACCCAGAAGTGGTCTGGAAGTACTTTTGGTCCTCTTCCGGGTTCACCAGGGAGTGCACAGGGGGGCCCCCTCACACCTCCCTGGCTTGGCGATCATCCTCGGGCCACCCCGGGTATCCCCCCAGACCCAGGAAGCACCAGTTGCTGAGCCAGGGGCAGTGTGGGGGGGCCTCCCGGATGCTCTCCAGCAGACCCAGAAGTGGACTGGAAGTGCTTCTGGTCTACTTCTGTGTCTGCTGCCAAGCATGCTGGGGAGCCCCCTGCATTTTTGTGGGACACTGCATGCGCCGCAGCATCGCAGCATTCACGAGCCACCTACTACCTACAGGTATGTAGAAAAAACATTTAAAGCTGTGTCTATGTCCAAATTGCTGAATCTTTCCGAATCTCTCCAAGTTGATTTGAAGGGTTCCAATTCAATTCAGAGAGATTAAAGGGTCATCTGATTTGATTCAGAGATTTGGCCACTGAATCAGGCCGAATCTCCACCGAATTGAACCAGGGACTGAAGCTTCATACAGCCCTAGAAGATCTGTGGAGCCAGGAAGAAACATGTAAGCAAGCTAGAGTATGTGTGGTTTGGTGACATAGCTGCTGTTACCCTAGAAGAGAATGAGACCTGTATTCTAGCTTGGGGCCTTGCTGTCAATGGTTGCATCTACATGTGCAGTTAGTAGTGTCTAAATTTACTGTGCATTAAGCTAATGCACTCCCCGCTCCAGCCTGCTTTCCCTACCAGCACACACCTCCTACCCCCTCCCCACCCCTAGCACCACTCTGAGGCCAGGCACATGGTTGAAAGAAAAAGCTTTATTCCCCTCACAACACCCACCCTCATTCCTCCCCCCTCTCCCCTCCCTCCCCAAAACACTGAGCACCTTCCTTTCCCCCTCACAACAGAGCCCCCTCACACCTCCCTCCCCAACACAGAGCTCCTCTACCACCCTCCCCACCCACCAACAAAAAAAAGCCCTCTTCCCAAGTGAAAACTATTTACAACAGTCTCAGGCTCTGTCTGAGACCTGGACTGGGGGGCTGTGGGATGGGGCACCTAAGAGGCAGAGCCCAGGGACAAGGTCCCAGCACCCTGGCCTTGGCCAGCCCCCCTGAGGGTCTGGGAAGCTGCAGTGAACATGGCAGACAGCAGGCTCATCCATGGGTGATTCCAAACAGTGTCCTTAAATGGCCATGAGTCTCCCCCTCTGCCTGCCTGAGTTCCTTTGTGGTGCCATGCCTAGCTGGGGACACAGGGCAGGCCTGGGGCTCCAGTGGGCAGGAGGTGCCTGAGGACCTCTTCCCAGGGCAGGCGGAGGCCTGCTGCGGGGTGATGGGCAGGACTCAGGGGCCTTGCTGGGTGATGGATGGGAGCCAGGCAGTGGGGGGCATGGACACAACTGCCAGGCCCAGGAGAGTATCCAGGGTCCAGCGGTTGACATCTGCAGCCTCTATTGCTTGGACCTGGAGAGCCACTTGCTGCCAGAGCAGCTCAATGTGCTCTCACTCTAGGACCTTCATCTGTGCCCAGTGCCCCTGCTGCACCTGGTCCTGCACCTCCTCCTGGGTGATCTCCTGAGCAACATCCTCCACCTGCCTGCAAAGACAGGAGACACTGCTGGGGGTGAGCAGCAGCAGGGAGCAAGTGTTGGCCCTGCTGCCAGATACAACCAGGCAGCAGCCCTGGGGAGATCTGGGCTGGGCAGGCGGTGCAGCAGGCTGTACCCCTCTACAGTACTCACCTGTGGCCAAGCAGCAGCTCTGGCTAGGGGACAGGACTGGCAGAGGCAGCCTGGGTCCTGTCCAGGGCAGCACACAGGGCCTGCAGCCCCTCTTATAGCCTGCAACTAGGGGCTGCCAGAGAGCCCTGGGGCTGGGCTCAGGGTGGCCCCCCTAGTGGCTAAGAAGAACTGGCACTAAGGTTAGTGCTAGGTCACATCTACACATGCATTGCTGTGCTTTAACTAATCGCATCTAAATTTGATACCTGTTACTTGTAGGTATCAAATGTAGTTGCTATTAGCCCGTTTAACTGCACAGTGAGGGTGCCCACATGTAGACATGCACCCATACTGCAGAGTAAATTAGGCTAAGGCGCAGTAAAGTAACTTCTGTAGACATGCCCAATGAAGGCAAAACTTCTCCATTGCACTGCCTTTCATTCATTTTTTAAATGACTGTTAAATACAAAGGGAAGCAACTCAGTTTCCAAAAACATGCAGAGGACTCAGATAATGCCTTACATCTTACATGGTTGTTAAAGCTCCTTACTGGAAAAAATAATACACAAATTCAATCCCGCCTCTAACTGGGGCAGGGGGCCACAGGAAGGAGGTGGTGCGCTAGAATCCAGGTCTTAATCTTCCTGCTCGAGTGTTCAGATCACCTAGCTATTAGGCCTAAAACATGGGCATTGCCTTCCTCCTCCTTTATGGGACTTGCACTCAGATATATGTGTATGTAATTATGTATGTGTGCAGTGTGCAGGGTAACAGGCAACAGAATCTCTACCTGTGCATAAGTACCAAAGTGCAACTTGCTAGACTCAAGAACTGCCACTTAGATGTGCAAAGAGAAATAGAATTCCACCCCTAGATACTACAGGACTTTGTACATAATATGTGTTTAGATCTTTAACATTTGCATAACAGATTATGCAATTTCCCAAGAAATTGTTACAGTCAATTTGGTCAGTCATCCACATCCCCGAACATGAATTACATTTGTATAAGCTATGTCTCAAAAACCCTGTAAGTACATATTTGCTTGAAAAGATACAGTGTAATAGTCACTGTGATTTACTGTTGGTGTTTATATGAATTGAGAATAATCTTTTCTTTAAAAATTAACAAAAAACCTATTAATAATGGAAGTGATCAGACAGCATGCTGTGCTCGAGAAAGCACATTGTAATTTAGCATGGGAATATGTGCTTCCTGGCTTTTCCCACAGTACAGAGCTTTACATGAATGGCAGATTGTGATATGATGTCAGAAACTCTGTCTTCTCCACTATTTAAGCAAAATGGCCAGTTATTTTGGTCCAGTATTTGAGCAGAATGAGTAGGGTTGGGTGGTGGAGTTTTTTGCTTGTTTGCATTTTCAGCTCTCAAGTTCTGTCTAAAGAGAGTCCAATATGTATAAATATATATTTCCTTTGGCTTTTTGGTAAAGTATGTCCATGGAGATTCTGAAATCTAACAAGAATATGAGGCAGCCTTTGTGCTATTGTATTACAACACATGGATAGCATGATTCATGAAGTCAAAAATCAAGTAGTTCAACTATTTTTATGGAGTGGCTCAAGGTCTTATTTTATTTGACAACTCCAATTATTCAAATACTACTTTTTTTAGTTTAAGGAGAGATGAAAAGTTTAAACTTTAGTTATATTATCCAGAAGCTTGTGTCACTCTTTTCGTTACAAAGCAAGAAAAAGAGAGAAACAAGAAAGAGAGAGAGAAAGAAAGAACGGAAGGAAAAAAGGAGAAATGGTTATACAGTTAGATTCACTTTTTCCATTTCTGATTGGAATTGACCATTGTAGGTTTAGTGCTCCATCGAGACTTTAAATCTGACAGAACATGTGATTGTACAAAAGCTTGACACTTTCACAGTTAATGCTATTTTTCTCACTAAAGCAAACTATGACTCCATTAAATGAATGTATGTAACCTTCAACCTATGTTTTGTTTTCACAGAGCATATATTATAACAGACTTCATGGGCATCAGGAATGAAAGTTTTATGAAGGTAGCAGCAGTGGGAACTTGGATGGGAGATTTTGTCACAGCATGGATGGTAAGAATTGTAATACTATATTTTAAAAGTAAACCAATATGCTTGTTGTTTTCAAAGGAAAAATTAAGCTTGAATGCCTTTAGGTAAAATCAGTGTTTCCACTCAAGCAAGTGGAGAGGCAGCAGATGCAAGATTGAAAAATGGCAGAATATGGTAACAAGTTAGGAATCCAGATGAACTGCTCTTGTGATGTCAGTAGGAGTTTTTCTATTGGCTTTTGTGGAAGCAGAAATGGCCCCTTTCTTTGCTATGAAACAGCAACATGGCAACATACTTTTATGGAATGAAAAGATAATGAGACAATCTCCATATCTAGTGAAAAGGAGAAAAAAGAAAAAGAATAGACTGAGTGAGCTGATTCTGGAGAAGAAAAAGAAAGAGAGCCAGTCAAACTAGTCAGAACCAGTCAAAAATGTAAGTCGTAGTCCCAAGTTGATTTGAGAAAAGCCCTTTCAAAGTGGGACTATCAATTAAAATGGCCTCAAATTTAGGTTTAAAAAAATTAACTGCTAAAACCTAAATCCAAAAGCAAAGCATCTCACTCCAGAAGAACAATTCTATTCAATCCATGGAAGCAGATAGTTCTCTCATGCTCTGAATGTACATTGTATTGCCAGAACACGTAAGTACTAAGTAGGGAGTTGCCAACAGGCAATACTGCTAATCACAAAAGTGTGTCTGAACTCTTGTAGCTCAGTCAGAGATATGACAAAGTGTTTCTACCATGGGGAAGGGGAACCAGGAGGAACCAGTAAGCTACTGGTTACTTTTTCTAAACTCAGTATCTTTTTCCCAGTAAGCTCTACTCAGTTTAAGGGGGTTGAAACCACATTTACTTCCCAGCAGAGTACCTTCAATTTCATTGAATAAGTGTAGGCCATAAGACAGGCCAAGAGCAGTGAGAGTTAAATTCTGTAAGTCTAAAGTTCTTTGGAAAGCACTAGAGCAGGGGTTTTCAACCTTTAAGGAGTATACCCCTTCTGATGGTGGTGGCTCATGCAGAGCGGGGAGGAGGGGTGGTGGCTGGACACGAAGTGGGAGGCTTGCATGCAGCGACACAGGGTGGTGGATGCCCTGCTGCGCATCTAGCCGGCTACTGTGCAGCCTGCAGAGGGGAGCCATTGCCCCTCTTCCTGCCCCCACTGGCCCCTAGCACCTTTCCAAGTACCCCCGGGGGTACATGTGCCCCCGGTTGACAAGCCCTGCACTAGAGTGCATTAGAACATTTGGAATCTCATCAAGACCCTTGGGATGTAAGGATCAGTACAACCTCCCATAATAGATAAGAAAAGTATGTAGGACAGTACAATCAAAGCCTGGTACATATCTGGGAAGAAATGTAACAATGTTATTAAAAAAATTCATTTATCAGCAAATTGTAAGGTGTATTAAACCAAGTGTGATTGATCATGTGTGAGCAATGATGCAGGCTTTATGTGTACTTTTAAAGTATAAAAATAGTAAAATAGCAATCCACTTTGGGTTTAGATTTAACCCTGAACTATCTCTGCTGTCAGCCAATCTGATCACCTGGCTGAATAACAGGTACCCTGAATAGCTGTGCTGCATGCTTATCTGAATCATGTTGCTGTAGAACCTTGGGGACAATAATAATAAGTTACCTTGCATTTACCCTAAGTAAAAGCAAGCACATGAACACTTATCATGGAGTAGCTGATATACCATAAACTCACACCCTTTCATGCCTTGAGGTAACTTGTTTATGTGCCCATACCTTGACTTTCTCCCTGTTCATCTTCTGCCATCCATGTATTTGAAGCATATTCCATAACAGCTGTGAAAAGAAAAACAGCATCAAGGTTCTTCAGCATATCGTTCAGTGTCAGTGGTTTGTCCAAGACAAATTGCACTCTACGAAATGGTGACCATGAAAACCAAGCACACAACAAATCATTCATCTGAACAGACTTAGAATAAGAGCATTGCAGAGCTTATCTGTGGACTGACATTGACATTTAATGTAACTTTCTAAGAAGCCAGTAATAAAATTCATAGCTGCATTTAAATCTCATTAGCATGGGCCTTCTTTTGAGTGCTTCTATAGTTGTATGTAGCTATACAAAGAAAGATGATGCATGTTCAAAACTGAACTGAGAAGGGTTGTGGCTTAGGATTCAAATGGCAGATTAGATATTGGTCACAGTACATTAGGCAGTGTTCCAATTTTTGAGATCTTTTTTTCCATTGCCTCCCCAGCAAGTGTCACCAAGAAACATGTAACTGTATGTACTGTCACATAAGTCATTGTGTAAAACAGTTAAACGTCTGGACTGTTACACAAATGCCAGGGTTCAGAGAGCATTTGAGTTATAGGTCCCTTTTCTATATACATCTCTCTTTCTCTCTTCCCACCCACACCCCTCATTACCAGCTAAATAAAAGCAAGTGAGTTATGCACTTTAAATTGTTCTAATCTTTACCTTCTAAAACAGTGAATTTGAAGCAAGATCAAGGTGGGAGAAATGTAACACAAAAAGGAAAACATTTTGCAACTTCACTTCAGGTTTCTACAGATTTCTGTTAAAAAGGCCATTTGATTTTAGAGGCAGCAAAATATCTGTTTTGTAAAAGAGATACATTATTGCATGGAGCTAATATCTAAACCCTTACAGATTGGTTCTCTCAGGTATTTTAACTGTTTAAACTATGAACAACAATTGTCAGTGTAGAAATTATGAAGTGTCCAATTTTATGAAATGAGCAAATTCTTATGAACCCTTTCAGATATCTGAATTCACATGTGCAAAGCCTCATGTCAAAAGATGTCTGTGAGCTTGCTGCTGTTATGTCTTATCTCCTGTGAAGCTGCTACTGCGAAGTAAAAGGAACAGTTTACAGTCATGATAGTGCTTTACGAACAGTGGAATCAAAGAAACATCAGCAGCTGTGTCATCAGGTGGTAAACTGAGACATGGAGTCAGGAGAGAGCAGCAAACTTACTTTTAAGTTCAAAGCTTTTCTTATGCTCTAGTGTTTGTAGGGACAAAAAAGATCCCAGAATTTAAAAAAATTATACCATTGTATTATCTTAGTGACCATCCATGTCTGTGTCCATGTTGGCAGCTATAGTAAATCATTTTACATATGCCCAAATGTTGCATCATGCTGTTCACTCTTTTGGAAGTACTAAATGATGGCACAGTAACAGACCATACTGTGCCGTGCTGGCAGCACATAGTTATTTTTAGCCGCTATGTCGCTGTAGCAACACACTATAATGAGGGAGTGTGTTGCTCTGGCAACATGGCTGCAGCATCACAGTTTGTGTCTGCTGCCGCTCTGTTGCCATAGCGTGTAGCTGTGGTGATGTAGAATCACATGTAGATGCACCCAGTGTTGAAGATATATTGGAATGACAAAAGTGATTTTGGGGCATGATTTATTCTGTGAAATATTCCAATCTTGGCAGAACTATGTAAAGAAAGAAATAAGAAAACTTCCAGTTTTGTTGGTGATTCAAATTTACTGCAACTATTACATTTTACAGTGTAATAGACATTTACAATAACTAACAATGGGTGTGTCTACCCGTGCATTTACACTGCCCCAAATTCACTGTGGTGTAAGCTAAGCCAGAGTAAGTGTTTTTGGGTAGGTGTCTACACATGAGGAGATCGAGGAACAGATTTGCTCCTGGTTCCCTGCAGCCTGGTAATGGGCCCCTGCAGCCACCAAGGTGAACACTAGGCTCCGGCTGCAGCTGCCAACATCTAGCAGACCTCTTTAAAAGCCAGCTCCACTCTCTGCTCTCTGGCCAGGCTCTTCCTTGCCCAGGAGCAACATGCCAAGCGCAGGGGAAGCATGCAGCAGCTTTCTCCTCAGCCACTCTGCCTCCCTGTGCTATGGCTGCTCCAGCCCCTGCCCCTGGCAGTGATGACCAGTGCCCCATACTTCTGCTGGCCACTGCGATTGCCCTGCTGGCTCACCATGCCAACTGCTGCCTGGCCTACCGCTGTCTTGCCACACCCAGCTCCCCCACACCTAGCAAGCATCTGCCTGGCTGCAGCATGCTGTCCCAGGGCCATCACTGCCACTGCACAGCTGCTGCTGCCAGGGACACTGATGAGGGGCTTCAGGATGCCACCACTGGGGCTGCTGTCACCCTCCTGAGCCTCCAGCCCCACCACCTGTGGGCCTGCCACGCCAGCCAGCACTGGTGGCTGTACCAAGTCCAGCATACCTGGGGCAATGAGCAGAGGCTGGATGGCTTCCACATAACCCGGGCCATCTTCTGGGACCTGCTCAGCCCCACTTTGAATGGCAGGACACCAGCATGGACCTGGCCCTCCCCACTGACACCCAGCTGGCCCTTACGCTGCTGGAGCTGGCCATGCCCACCAGCCTCCGGTATGTCAGACACCTGACACCTGACGTCAGACACGGTATGGGAAAGTTCACCACCGGGGAGGCCATCCTGGAGGTGTGCAGGGCCCTCCACACATGCTGGGGCACACTGTGCTCTGTGTCCACAACCCCTTGGTGGTGGTGGCAGGGGTCTGTGCACTGGGATTCCCCCAGTGTATCGATGCCCTGGACGGGACCCACATCTCAGTCACCTGTCCATCCCATGGACAACACCCCTATTACAGCCACAGGGGATTTCATTCTGTGGTCCATGTGGGGCATGGTCCATGATTAGCGTGAACTTCCATCCTAACAAATAATACTGGAGTATTTCTATGGCCCATTTGATCACCAAATATTCTTTCTCTGTTGTAGCATAATTCCTTTCAGGTGGGTGCAACTTTCTACTTATATACACTATTGGACGTTCTTCCCTTTCCTTCATTTGGACCAACACCACACCAATAGCCAAGTCTGATGCATCTGTCTGTACCAAAAACGGTTTATTGAAATCTGGTGTATATAGCAGTGGCTGTGTACAAAGTGCATCCTTCACCTCTTGGAATGCTCTTTCTGCCTCTGGTGTCCATCTCACTTTGTTTGGGGCTTCAGCCCTTACCATCTTGGTCAAAGGC